TTAAATAAGACACTCACACACATTAGGACAGTATTTTACAAAACTGATTAAAATATAAAAAATTGTAATATAATAAAAAGCATTCAATAACCATTACGATTACTCGTATAACCTAAGATATTTTGGTTTGTCTTAAAAAAATTTGTGAAAATTTCTATATTTTTTCTTCATCCAAACTTGACAAAAAAAAATAATTTTTTTAACATATAAAAAAATTAAAAAAGTTTTCTAGTTCACTAAACATTATTCTCTTTCTCTTGCATTCTACCGAACATTAATTGGCTTCTACCTCTGTTGTTTTTTTTTTTCTGTTTCTGGGGGGTTTGAAATGGCTAAAGTGAAGCAAATTTGCATTAAAATATTATTGGTAATCGATGAAATATGAAATTCATAAAAAATTAGATTTACCTATAAAAAATTAAGGGACGAGGGGGAAAGAGCCCAGGTTACCTTTAAAGAGAATTCAATGAACTGGAAAATATGAATTTTTTTAATAACATTTTAAATTTAAACTATCATAAATTTAGTTTCTTTTTTTTTTTTAATATTGGTAGGTTAAAGTAGTTAAGGTGTTACAGTTTATTGCTAATCGGTTGATTGAGAAAACTAAAACAAAAATATATTTTTTTTTTTTTTGGTAAAAATATTTCTAATGCCTTTTAATGAAATTTAGTTTTGGTTGTTTTATGCTACTGAATTTACGACAATTTCTTTGAAAAAAAGGGGTTTTAATTTGTTTGGTCAAGGTTTGAGTAGTCGTAAAAGAATTGGTCTTTTATTATAGTGAAAATATTGTTGAAAAATTTAAAAATAAATTAATAACAAAATGAATTTACCGAAAAGTGAGATTTTTATTAAGTTATTACTCTTTTTTTTTGTATAATTTTCAATCGATCTTATTCAATGAATTTAATGAATTTTAAATGTTTTTTTTTTTGCAATCTTGAAATTTTTTTCTCTAAATTCATTCTGTTAATTCATTTGGAATTTATTGCTCTTGAAAATAATTCTGAATATATTAATATATATGAACATTTAGTTCACTTAACTTACCCTGGCATATACCCCTATTACACGATTAAAGCCTGTTTTTCCTATATTAAAAATTTTATCTTATATTAAAAGTTTTTTATGATATTATTACATAATACGAGTATACTTGATATTCTTGATGATATAACAACTATTATTATGGCCACTGTTCCGATATTGCCTTATATCATATGATTTATCTGATTTTTCAGATTTTTCAAAGGTATGCTAAATGACCGGATTTTTTAACAAAAAAGCCAGATTTTTCACTTGAGAAAAATCTAAAAAATCACTTTAAATTTCTTGTTTTTGTGATTTATTATTACTTAAACGATAATCCAGTATTTCAAAAATCAATATATAAAAAAATATTTATATTTTAAATGGACTGAAAACTACAGGTGACGCTGAATCTGGATAATAATTATATTATTGTGAATTCCGATAGATAGCGACTTGACTAACCGAATACTGATTTTGATATTTTGATATTGTTTGGAAGTGAGAATTAAGGGTATGGACATACAATAAAAGTTAAACATCATTATAAATGTAATTTTGTGTGCTGATAGCTAATAAGCTTTATTTTAAAAATAATTAACCAACAAAATAATTATTTTTTTAACACTCAACGGACGGGCCCCGTAGATTTACGTCTTTCCATTCGTGACTTGCTAGGACAGGCCACGTAGATTTACGTTTTCGCATGAATTTTTAGTATGTTGCATTTAAATCCATACATGCATGTTTATGAAATTCCCCTGAAAAATATCCGGAAACTAGCAAAGACAGAGCAGGTTCGATCCGTCCGTTAAGTGTTAATTAAGCACATCAACAGAAAAAAAATCAAAATCAGCAAAAATTTTACTTTCAAAAATGGTTTGACTCAATTTTTTTTTTTTTTTTCAAAATTAAATTCTAACAAAAATAGTTTTTGATAAAAATAAGCTACTTATATGACAATCAAATATAAAAGTTGTTTTTTTTTATCAGATTTTATGCCAGTTTTTTTTTTTATGTTGCCAGATTTTTTAGATTTTTTGGCAAAATTTTCCAGATTATCTGCGAAATCAATGCGGTAATTCTGATTATGGTATATTGAGAGTTTATATAACGGTCTTACATAATATATGCAGTTCGATATTATGCTTTATCAGTAGAACGCACAGTTCCTCCGAATTTTTAAAAAATTTTGTTTTATAAAAATTTATCCTGTTTGCATAAATAATCCATTCAATGTGAAGAAAATTAAGTTTAAAAAATATAACAATTACACATACTTATATAATTTGTATAGCAGAAATTTCAAATAATTCGGAAAAATTTATAAAGAATTCAAGTGTTAATTAATAATAAAACTAATTAATTGGAAATATTTTGAAAATTTAATTATTAATCCACACTCACAATTACCATAAAGTTTATACAATAAACATCGGCAGAACGTACCTTCTTCGCTCTCTTATTGATAAAAGAAATATGAAAAAAAAGATTTTTTCCATATTTTTTTAAAGGATTTTAATTTTACCCCAAAAATACTTGTTTACCGCACAAACCTACCGCAAATATACTTGTACGAGGAATGAGTATTGAATACAAGAGTTAATAATGAAAGAGTAATAATAAAACATGTATAAGTACTAATTTTATTTATGATGTTATTTAATCATGTATGTATGTACATATTTACAAAATACTTGTACATAACATGAACAAATATTAATATTTAAGACAATTTAGTATAAAAAATTTATACTGATCTCTTATGGATGGATGGATGGATGATGTATCTTTAATTAAAATTTATGTTAACAATAATGAATTAACCTTGCACATACACCCGTCATCATATACTTAAATTATAAATTGTTTGTTCTTAAAATCTTTTTGAATATTTTTGTATTTCATCCGATAATAAAATTGATGATGCAATTCGTTTTTTTTTGTATTTCGTGCATTTCGTTCGTTCACATCGCTTTTAAAAGAAAAATTTTAATTGCTGGTGGTGCTGCTGCTGCTACTGCTACTATTGTTGCGTTTCTATGCAATTAAATAGTTATTGAGAGCAAATAAAATTCAATTGCATTTTTTTTTCCAATTCAATAAAAAAACGTTGTTCTAAATAACAAAATTGTTAAACGATTCTCTATATTAATTTCTACAGTTAATATAGAAAATGAAAGTTTGTGTGTAAAAGTATCATTTTCCAATTAGACCTTAGAACTTAAGAAGACACTTTATAGTAGAATAATAGCTGTGTAATATTGTACTTTAAAATTAATTTAAAAAATAATTAAAACAATTTCAATTCTAGCACTAAAAATTAAATTAAATTTTCATTTTAACAATTACAATTTTTATTTTAAGCAAATTATTCTCTTGTATAATATAGAGTAATAAAAATTTCATTTAGTGCTTAAAGTGGAACTTAAGATGCCGCAATTAATTTAGAAATAAAAATTTATTATTTAATTATTTTTGTATTTTATATTTTATTCTCTATTGTTTTTCGCCCTTCCTTTTAGGCTTAAGTGAGTTTTTAATTACTTGTTTAATGGTGAAATTAAAAAAAAAGAATTCAACAACCTTGTAACAAATTTTCATAAGAAAATTGTTCCCTTTTTCTATTTTTCTTAATTTTTTTTTGAAGAAGAAGAACAAAAAAGGTAGAAATTTAAAAAATGATTTTTTTTTGTTTTCTTAGAAAGTAGGTAAGGCACACGTCATCATTTTGCTTATTTTTCTTGATTTAAATGATAATTTTTTTTTAATGTTAATAAAAAAACTTACATAAGTTGATGATTAAGATTAATTGTTATGATTTCTAATTAAAATGGATAATAATGATTAATTTTAATTTTGAAATTATGTCGGAACTGACGTTTTTTGTTAGAAATTTAAATTTTTGGAAAAATATTTAATTTTTGAGCATAATTTGTTCTATTTCACAATATTAGTTTCGTACTCAAGTCTTCTAGTGCAAAATACAGACCAAATTTAAATTTAAGGTCTTATTGATTTTCTATTCTGCGCCGAATCTATATTTTCATTCGTATATAAACTGCTTATGTCCCAAATCTAAATCACGTTAAGTCCACAATAGCTCCAATAATAATCAAGCGAGCTTTGATTTCCAGGAATTAGAAATATGTAATTGCAATCAGTCTGGTATTCAAATTTTCATGATTTTTTCCAATTCATTCTTTAGAGAACATACAAAAATTCTGTTTCTATGATTAAGTCAGTTATCAGTTTGTTTTACAAATGTTGTAATTACAAACTTAATTTTATTAAACCCTTAATCATATTCTAAAATTATTCGTTTCATTTTAATAAAGCATTGCGAAAATTATTTCAAAAAAATATTCTTTATTATAATCGCGCTTGTTTTAAGATTGCATTTTTTAATTTTATACAATGAATTGCTCTTCCATTTAAAATTATAATTAAAATTTCTGTTGTACTATAAAACAACTACTCCAAAAGAAGAAAAATCCATTTAAAAAAAAATTATTTAATATGCGAAGAAGTTGTTTCCCTTGTATTATTTTTAAAGTAAATTTTCAACCGAACTTGAATGCCAACCTGTAGGCGGACGGGAGCGTACAAAATTATAATAACAAATTGATTTGTGCAATCATTTTAAAATTATTTTACATTGTTTATACTTATAATAGAGAAAAATAAGAAATACTCGTACATTGGAAAATTTTCAGTGTAGAAGTTCAAAAACGAAAAAAAAAAAATTAAAAGCAAAGAAAAAACATTTATTTATGAAGCAGTCAACAAACTGATTAAAAATTCTTGTACTTATATTCAGAATATAATTTTTTAATAAAATTATTAATTTAAAATATTGTAAGCATGTAATAAACTCTGTTTTAAATTAAATATTTTTTTATTATTCTATATTATTTTTAATTAGTTATTCATTTAATTTTTAATTATTTTTCTTTATCTAATTTTAGTCTTGCTGAAGAAAAGAAAAATCAAGGAAATGACCAATATAAAGCTCAAAATTATCAAACTGCATTGAGATTATATTCGGAAGCTATAAGATTATGCCCGGACACAGCCGCTTATTATGGCAATCGTTCAGCTTGTCATATTATGTTAAATGATTATAAAGCAGCATTATCTGATGCAAGAAATTCAATATCACTTGATGATAAATTTGAAAAGGGTTATATAAGAACAGCAAAATGTTGTTTAGCATTAGGTGATTATATTGGTACTGAACAAGCTATTAAAAAATTTTCAGAAATCTATGAAAATAACAATTCATTGAAAACAGAAGAAGTTAATTGCGGTCATTTAAGAAATTTTGAAGAGAAAATTTCACAAAATTATGCAAAGAAAAATTTTCGTACTGCTTTATTCTTTTTAGATTCAGCTTTGAAAATATCACCAGCATGTATTAAATATAAGATATCAAAAGCTGAATGTTTAACATATTTGGGACGTTTAGATGAAGCAGCTGATATTGCTGTAACAGCAATGAAATGTGATTCAACATCAGCTGATGCTATTTATGTACGTGGTTTAATATTGTATTATCAAGATAATTTTGATAAAGCAATATCACATTTTGAACGAACATTACAATTGGATCCAGATCATAAAAATGCAAAGGAAATGCGTACAAAATTAAAAAAATTAAAAGATAAAAAAGAATTGGGTAAAAATGCATTTAAAGCTGGTAAATTTCGTGAAGCATTACAATTATATACAGAGGCATTGGAAATTGATCCATCAAATAATAATATGAATTGTAAATTATATTATAATAGAGCATTAGTTAATTCTAAAATAAATAATTTACGTGATTCAATTGTTGATTGTACTCAAGTATTAGATATTGATTCACAATATTTAAAAGCTATACTCTTACGTGCCAGATGTTATAGTGAATTGGAAAAATATGAAGAATGTGTTAAAGATTATGAGGCTGCTTTAAAAATACAAAAAACACAAGAAATTAAAAATTTATTAAAAAATGCTAAATTTGCATTAAAAAAATCAAAACAAAAGGATTATTATAAAATATTGGGTGTTAGTAAGAATGCATCAGATGATGAAATTAAAAAAGCATATAGAAAAAAAGCACTTATACATCATCCAGATCGTCATGCTAATTCATCAGAAATGGATAAAAAAGATCAAGAAATTAAATTTAAAGAGCTTGGCGAAGCATATTCTGTTTTATCAGATCCAAAAAAGAAAATGCGATATGATAGTGGACAAGATATGGAAGAAGAAACAACAGGTTAATTGAATTAATTTAATATGTTAATAGAATTTTTTTCAATTATTTTTTATTTTTCTTTTTAGGTTTTGATCCAAATCAAATGTTTCAAACATTCTTCTTTACTAATGGTGGTCCAGAAACTTATAATTTTCACTTCAAATAAATTCAACATTTACGTCATATAATTGATAAAACGAAAATAAATATGAATTTTATATTATGTATACATATATATATGTGAATAAGTGTATATAATTATATACATAAATATTTATATATAATGTGTAAAATTAGTGTTAAATTATTTGGTTCAATTTTATAGAATCTTTAAAACAATTTAAAAATAAACATTAAATTAAAATTAAAGGAAAATTAAAATTAAAGGAAAATTAAAATGAAAAAAAAAAAACTATTAGATTTTAGTGAGGATTAATAAAAAATTCAGTGATAAGAAGGGGTTTTTTTTTAATGATAAGCTTTTTCAAAAATAAAATAAATAAATACAAGAGCAATAGTTATAGATTTGATTATATTAAAGTGAAAATCCTAAGTCAATGGATTCAAATTTTTAATAATTTTGCTTTTCTTTTAAAAGGATCATTGTATGATAAAAACAAAAGATTTATGATTAAAAAAAAATTGGTCTCAAAGAAAGTAATATAATATTGAGTTTAAGTTAAAACAAAAAACACAAAATATTTTTTTTTATTTAAACACAAAATTAATTTAAAATTACTATTTTAAAATTAAAATTAGTAAATTTTCTGAATATTAAAGTAAATTATGCAATATATCAAGTTTAAAATCACTTTCCATTTTTTGTTAAATTCTATATTATTTCATCAATTAAAAATCTTTTTAGCTAAATTTAACAATATAAGAAACCAGGAACTTTTAATATTTTGCAAAAATTGGTTTTGTTCCATAAACTGAAACTAAATCACACAAAAATCTAATCGTATTGTTTGTAGATCATAAAAAAAACTGTTAACTTTACTGAAAAGTTATTAGAACTATAAAAATTATTAATTAAAATTAAATATTTAATGTCAAAGTAGAAAGAAAAGCTAAATAAATAATTATTATACATGAATTTAATTTTACAAAAATTCTTGAACATTTATTATAAAATTAAAAAGTTAAATTTCAAATTTTGTACTTCAATTGATCTTGTTTTAAAACTTTAACTAAACATTATTTTATTTTACTCATATTCATAATTGATTCAAAATACTTGTCACTTTTCTTTTTGAAAGTGATTTCAAGATATTTTTGAAAATATTAACTTTCAATACAACTCAATAACAGAGTTATTTTAAAACTTTCTAAACTAAAAATTGTACAAGAAGTGAGTAAAACTTAAAATGAGTATTTATGAAGATGCATATTCTTTCAGTCACTGAGGTCGTAGGTTATGATTATGTTTGAATTAGAAAAGTATTACTTCCTTTCATGATTTCGTGACTAACGCCTTGTGGATGTTACCCTTTTTTTTGCGCTCGTATTAATAAAAAATTTTATTTTATGTATTTTTCAATCAGTTTTAATAAAAAACAGATCAATTTTGTATGTAGCATTTCTGTGAAGTTGTAACATCCGATTTTATTTTTATTCAAAATTTTTTCTATTAATGTCAAGTGATTTAGCTTTAAAGCAATTACCGCAATGAAGTGATATAATTTAAATTGTTTTTTAATTTAATGATTGAAGGGAGCTTTTAGATACTATGCGTAAACACTCATATTCATTTTAAATGTATGTATTTAAAAAATATTTACACATAAAAATTGGGTTTTCAAAACAGTGACCTCTTCTGTTTTATTCATTTCATTCAAAAGTGTTTAAGTATATAATTTTTTGTTCGTTAAACTTGTTGTAAAAAACTATTATAAAAATAATTTTTTATATTAATATTGTAAAACAAAAGAAAATTACAACTTTTTTTAATTAAAAATATAAAAAATACCTACCTATTGATCACTGATTGCTACAGATTTTGATAATTAAATTAGTTGCATAATTTTCTAAGTTTTATAATTTTTTAATTTGATAAAGTAATATTCTTACTATACAATTTAATTTTTATAAACCTACATAAAAATTACATATACTTACTAAAGAAATAAAAGATAGTCAAAATTAGTATGTTAAACACAATAAATGAATATGTATAAGATATTTATAAAAAATAATTTTTTGAATTAAAAATAAAAGAAATAATTAATAACATATTAATTTGAATGAAATTACATGAAATTCTAGAATAGCTAAATTCAAATTGATTTGAAACGCTATTGAATAATTGCAGGGTTTTTATTTATAATTAAATTTCTTAATTACATTCCCAATAAATAAAAAAAAATTAAAGTATGTTTTTAAAAATAAAATAATACAATTGAATTTTTTAAAAATTAATTTTAATTTTTAATTATTTAACAATTAATTGATATAAGTATCCACATTCTGTTAGTTGCAACACTTGACATAAGGGGTTGTTATTCTAAAAATTTTATAATTTTCTAAATAAAATCAATTTCGAAACTTGAAATTCAATAATGAAAAACAACAAATTTTTTAACAATATCCCATTACCTCAAGTGATACGACTAACAGAATATGGATAATAATTTACTTGAGAAAGAAGAATTTCATTTTACTATCTTATATCCACATTTTCTTTTTTTTTAACTCTGCAGAATATTTCGTAAAATATATGTAATTATGTAAATATCTAGAACAATAATGTAATGGAAATAATTTTTATTATTTAAATACAATTATTTAATCCCTTTTAATTAATAATTTCTATTGAGAATATTGAAATATATTATTGAGAATTTTCAGCGCTTTCGGTTATTTTTGTTTTTTTTTTTTTATATAGCAGCTGTGGGATAAAAAACTTTAAAACCAAAATACGATATGAAATAGAAATTCAAATTAAATTAAACTTAAAATTTAATATTCTTAACAAGATTTAAAATAAAAAAAAAACTGATTAAAGAAATATTTACATTATAAATTTCAAAAATAAATAAAAATATGTAATATGTAACTATGTATTAAATGGAAGTAAACTACAATAAATAAATATTAAAAAATAATATTGATTTTTATTGTAAATACTCGTATCTCTATTGTATTAATTTCTTAAATATGTATTGAGAATTTTTCCCCTTTATCGCATTTAAGATTTGGAAAATTTTTTATTTCACTAAAATATTTCCAGGTCAATATTTTATTTTTATGCTTAAAATTAATTATGAAGTAAAATTCAGTAATCAATTTTATAAAACCGAAAATTAGAACAACCTTCAGTTTATCATAATCACAATAAAACGAAAGATTTAATCTTTCTGGTGCAACTTTAAAAGCAGAATACAATGCACTTCCTAAAAATATTAAACAAAAATACTTAATAATATATACTTTGGAATACTTAAATTTTGGAATCAATGTTGAACACAAGCAATCGTAGAGAAACAGCGTCCTGTAAGTGATTATGGTTATTTCCATTATCGGATCACACTCAATTAAGGGTGCAAGTTTTGTGGTACAACTTTTTCCGTCACCAAAGAAGAGTCAATAAGTCATTAGTCAAGTTTGCTTCACCATGAAGAGGTGGACTAACGGTAACCGCAGAAATAGAGGCCGTCTGGGCAATCCTTATATACGGCCCACTTATGTACAAGCTCAGTATTTCCACACTGATCACGCACGCAATCATTATTTTAGTTTTTTCATTATGTTTTCTAGTTCTTTCCCATAAAATTTTTAGTTTCGTAGAAATAAAATTTTCGTCACCTTTTTTGAATTCAAAAGCTGATTACGAAACAACTTTTTTCAACTACACTGTTTTGTTATTATTGTTGGAATGGAACTACATATTATACTCCTTCCAGACTCCTTCTGTATATGTATAACTTAAATAATTTGTACATAAACTTACTTAACTTGCCTTTGTAACTTTCAAAAATTAAGTTAAATTCTTGTTAGTAAATTACTGAAATTGTTTAGTCAATAATAAAAATTATGTATTTTTAAAGATTATCTTAGACCCAAACCACTCTAAGTAGGTACACGTTTAGAGCGTCATCTATTGTTTTCTTATTACATTCCAACTTTCAAATTTGTTTACAAGTAAGTACATACACGTATAATGCGCCATTATGGCATATTTTATTTGAGTATGACATGACATTAATGAAACTTGACAATTTAGTACCTACCAAACTTCAATATTTTTATTTTCATAAAGTCACTAACAAATCTTTCATGCGAAAATATTTAATTTTATATATATTTTTATTTCGAAATTTAAGTTTATAATATATAAAAAGTTTGAATAAAGGTGAAAATAAAATTAAGAATGAGTTTTGCAAGATATGAAGTAGCCACAACTTCTGGAAACTCGACTAATAGTGAGCGTTTTACATATGAAGAGGTTTTTTTTTTGCTTTTTTAATAAAAAATTATTTATTTGAATTCGTTGCACTCGTAGATAATTTTTTTATTGGACTTATGCGAAAAACATTGTATTATAAATCAAAGCCAAACGAAAGGGTACAATTTGGTACGTGCATTTACGCCAATTCAGCACGAAATGTTAGACGGAGGTAAGTTTTCCATTCATACTTATAATATATTTTGGTCTTTTGCTTTGAAAAGGTATGGATTATATTGTACCAAGCTATTAAGCTTGATATGATGGAGAAAAGTAACGTTAAAAAATGAAACTGTTAAATTAGTTTATTCAATAGAAGTAAGTTGAAGTTTAAATTTAATCAAAATTCCCAATTAATTTTTTTAAGGGTACAATCGAAGTTTAACTCAAATAATAGATAAATTTCGAAAATTGAAACTACGTTTTGTACATTCATATTTGGCACGTAAAAAAGGTAAACCAGCAATGGCCAACCGTTTTGAACACTACAAACGTTTTGAAAAATTATTAGAAAATGCCAAAGTAGACATAGATACATTTATCAAAAAATTTTCTAAAAAAAACTCTAAAATATCCGAAGATGACATGGATTATGAAAACATAAAAGATGAAAGTAATTCAAATAATGCGTTTGATCAGGAAAACTGTGATGATTTCGAACAGATTACTATGGATGATAACGATATAATAGAAAAAGAAATTTTAATAAATGATGATTTTCAAAATGATGATACAGAAGATTATTTAACTGAAAATATGGATATAAAAATTCTACCACATTTTCAAACATCATCTTCATCAAGTTACATACCACGAAATAATGGTATTTATAAAGACTAAAAGTAAATGATTTATTTTCTTTTTTATATCTAAAAACTATTTTAATTTTAGATACAAGAGGTTTGTCGTTATCTGAACGAACCGTAATTTTGCTAGAACAATTAGTTCCGAGTTTTAAGAAAGCACAAGAAGAATTACAAGCAGAATTTTTCCGTCAACAAAAGGAACTTATTCGACAACAACAAGAATGGGAAGAAAGGATTTTAGATGAGGAAAGAGAATATTTTACAAAAGTATTAGCTAGATATAACACCAATTCACAAGATTAAAAAAGGAAATTGAATTGCTTGGCCATTTTAAAAATCGCACTAATTTTTTAGTATAATATTTTTTGTACATATTATATCTTTGATTAATTTCATATTAGAAAAATACTAAGTATTAAATATATTTTGGTAAATAATCAGATCTGTCATGAATTTCACTCATAGAATCCTACGAATTACGAACATAACTACGACGTAGTCTTTTGAATGATCACAAATTCCTTTCGTAAAGATTATGAATCACCAATGGAAGTATCACTTTTCGGAGCGTCACAATCAGTATTTTAATTCTACTATCAAATTTTTATTTACATATATTTTTTGGTTACTATTTCAGTAAGCCATTTCCATACAAAAGGATATTTTTTAAGATATTCATACAATATCTTAAAATATTATTCAATATTTTTTAAAATATTTTTTTGTATGAAAGTTTTGCAGTTTTTTCAGTTATTGAATATTTTTGAAAAGTTGGAAAAAAATTTTTTAGTAATATGAATTCATTTCCATTCATGGTAGTTGTGTTCGTAGCAAAACTTGAAAATTTAATACGACTATATTCTTTATATTATTCAAGTTCTATTCTTATACTCTTTAAATTGCTTGCTACGAGTGATTATTTCTTTCGTAGACTTTTGAGGGTAATTTTTACTACGAACGTAATTGATGATTGTTCCGTTACGAAATATTCGGAGCAGAATTTTATTAATTCGTAATTGATAATATGATGTTCGCAATTTTCCATATTTCAGAGCTACGAACGAAATTCATGATACGGCTATATATGATATTAATCATAATTTAAGGCTATTGAGGATTTCACTCCCTTCTATACCGTATATACATTTTTATTCCAATGCTCAAGGATTTCTTTTCATACAATTTTAGAATAGTTTTCTAATTACAACTAAATATTTTTTTAATATTAACATTTTGTATAAATTATGTATAAAATTTAAGATTTTTATCCATTGAATGCATTATTTTTATTTTAACTGAAAAGTTAATGAAATTTTCGATATGTTTCACTTTGTAACAAACATAAATTTTGTAAATTAACGTAAACTATTCTAATAAAACTAGACCGTAAGAATTTAAAAAAAAAAATATTTAGGGTGAAATCGATTTTAACATTTTTCGTTTAATTTTGGTATATTTTGAATTAAAAAATTTTATTTTTTACTGTATGTATATTTAAAATATATAATAATGGCCAAAAGTAACATGACTAAAATCATAATTAGAAGATTGTATATTAATAAAATTTTATTAAATAAAACAAATTTAAAACTTTTAATTTATTAAAATACTTAATTAGTTTTGCTCTTTTGTCAACATGGTGAATAACTTCGTGATCTGAAATTTTTGGGACTAAATGTTCTAAAATCAAATTTTTTTTGGAGCCCTTACCTATGAGTATGTTAGTTTAAAGGATCATTAAATTATAAGTAAATAAAAATTTTTATTTTGGATTTAGTGAAGTGAATTCACTTGTTACTATTTTTGAATTTCATATAGATTCTAGTTACATAAATGAAATTTCAGATAGACGTAGTTATTTTAAAAATACTTAAAAATTTTTAATAAAATGTTTATATAACACAAAGCTCCTGTAGAAAAACTTATAAATTTTGAACATTGTAAAGCTATTATAAGATAACGATTGAACATATTAATTAAAGAATGAAATCTTTGGGAATAATATACATACTTATAATTGTATATCAAAAATTTTAATCGTAATGAATGGTAATTAAATGGTTGGAAAAATAAAAAGATTAATGAATATATTAATATTTTATACATTGTGTATTTTCAAATTTCTTTATTTATTTATTTGAATTCTTTTTAATTTCTTTCTTTTTTTTCATTTTATATTTTTATTTATTTTCATTTTTATTATCTTTTAAGTTAAACAACATTTATATATTATATAAAATAAAAATAACAACTAGATTACGTACATTCAGTATTAGAACGTTTTTCTTCTTTTTTTTTCAATTTAATATTTATCTCTGAAATAATAAAATAATTTAATAATAATAATGTATAAAAAAAAATTCTCAATATTACTAGAATACATTAAAATCACTTTTGAACGGTTTTGAAAATTACATAGAATTTTTCTTGTCTTTTTTTTTGTTATTTAATTAATTATCTTTTAGATTTCTTTTCTATTTATATAATTAATCTAATATTTAAATACAGATTTTTTTTTCCATTTTTATTATTTCAGTACATATAATAATATAAATGTCTATTTTTAACATATTTATACATACATATATTTCGAATATATGTACATATATAATTAAACGGATATGTTACTTAAAAAACTACATTTGATACATTTACAAATTGCATTTTATACGTTGTTTATTTTTTTTTTTGCTTTATAAAAAATTAAATTTAAAATTATAAAATATTTTTAATTAACCAGCATTTTCTTTTTTAGGGCAAACATTTGCACTTCTATCTAATTCTTTAAATTGTCCATAAAATAAAACATCAGAAATTAATTTTTCTGCAATTATCCTTTGAGATTCTTCCATACTACGTAATTTTAATGCAACATTTAAACCAATAAAATCACAATCATCTTTATCAGCTAATGACATCGATTGATTTTCATAATTTTGAAATAATTTCGTTGTTGATGGTTTTTCAATTGATGTTGCTGAAGCTGATGCTGATAATGGTGGCGGTGGTAATAAACCAGGCCATCTATCTAATTTTTCATCCTTTTGTTGATTATCTGATGTTGTTGAATGATGTGATTGCTGTTGTTGCTGTTGTTGTTGTAAATGATGATGATATGTTTGATCGTTTGTTGTTGAATGAAAATTTAATTTTTTTTTTGGTGATGTATCACTACTACTATAACGATTACGTCGAAAATCTAATATTGAAAATCTTTCATCATCGTCATCATCATCAACATCATGATCATTATGATTAATTATATTTGTATGATCATTTGAACGTTGATAACTTTGATCGATAATACGATCACTATTATGATGATCATCATTATCAATACTACTACAATCGAAAACTTCTTCTTTAACATCTTGATGATAATTTAATGAATCTGAACGTTGTCTTATATTATTATTATTATTATTATTGCTATTATTATTATTGTTATTATTATTTATATTACTATTATTATTATTACTATTTGTATGTTTAAATGTTGATGAATTATGATGGCCACTAAGTAAATTTAAAGGATCAACATTGATTTCAACCATTTCATCTTCGATTGTTGAATTTGCTGATTGCTGTTGTATTGAATTATTATGATGCTGAAGTATACTATTACTATTATGATTAATTGATAAATCTTGAACGGATTGTGGACCTGTTAATTCTGTATCATTATTCATTGATAAAGAATTATTATTATCTGATTGATTATGAATATCACCTGTTGAATGCCATGATGCTAAATTTTGTAATGATGATGTATTTTGGACTGATTGTAATGGATTATATCCTAAACGTAATTGCATCTAAAATTATAAAATAAAAAGAAAAACAAGAATATTAATTAAAAATATTTTTAGAATTTTTTTTTTTAATTTTGTTTAATAATTTTTGAAGACAATTAAATAAATATTCGGTATTGGCTAAATTATTAAATTATCTTAATCCTTTTGTAATAATATCAAATGTAATTAATTGGAAAAACTTTCTCTTGGATACGCAGCGGGTAAAATGGGAATCTGATTTTACATTATAGTAATATTTTCTGCCTATAAGGTAGAACTATTTACGACTATTTTTTAAAAATTATTTCCTGGAAAGTAACGCGAAACTAGTCGAATTTCCCAGAAGCATAACTGAACTACTCGACTCCTGTATGGAGTCAAATATATTTTACATAGAGACTGTTAATTGCCCTAAAATTTTTCTAATAGAAATTTATAGCATTTTAAATATTTATCATAAATAAATACTTTTAATTTTATTTCCAAATCTATGTCCCTAGGTTTATGCGTTAGACGCTAGATTATTTTAGTTTCTTAAATATATTAAATGCGAACAAAATCGTATATTTTAAATAGATTATCAGGTTTGTAAACTAGTATAAATTTAAGTAAATAATTACAAAAATTTATTTTATTATCTTAAAATTTATTTATTTTAGAATATTTGTAACGATTACTAATTTGATTGACACAATTAGTATAGCATTATATATACTAAGTATTTAAAATTATTTAATTTAAATTTATTTACATGTCCTTGAATTGATAGTATAATTAAAATAAAAATTTTTATTTAATTTTAGTTTAAAATTTGAACAAAATTTAAATTTAAATCATCTGGAATATTGAAAAAGTAATTAAGAATATTGTGCTGATTGGGAAATTTACAAAATGATAACCCAAATTTTTATTGACAAATTTAAAGAAAATAAAATTAAATTCTTATTTACATATGTGAGTATGTTAGTACATATGTATACAATAAATACTTTATGTACAAATAGTAAATATTCTTATTTTTGATACACTATGCTATTACAGTACTTAAATATACGTATAAGTATTTTAAATTTTCTTCCATTTTGAAAATTTTTAATTTATATTTTTGTAAGTATGTATATTTTTTCTTTATAATAACTTAAATAATATGAATGTACGTACATGTATTACGTATATATAGCGAATTTTATATTTTTACTTCAATCCTTTATTATTCAATCCAGTTGAAAAACTATAGATACTCGTATTTCATGCCATAATCCCTACATTTATCTATGCACATATGTGTGTATATCCGTATACTTTTAAATGAGCCGGGGAAAATTTTCAGTCAATAATAAGTAATTTATTCTTCGATATATTTTCATTACATATATTTGCCAATTGTTCATATATATGAATGTAGTTATGTAAGATGTAAAAATTCTTTTATTTTACCTTTTGTATAATGAAAATTTTCAGAAGCCATTTTTGTTTTATTATTTTTTTTTTAATATAAAATATTTAAATGCGTTCATTTATTAATTCATCAATTATTATTTGTAGCTATTATAATAATAACTGTTATAATAACGTTGTTAAATCGTATTCTTGTGTATATAAATCGTAAATTGTACTTATACCTATGCTTATACTTCGGCATATATACGTCGACAAGTTTACGTATTTATATTAAATTCTTACAAATTTATTAAGTATAACAATTCAGGTGAAATATTGCGACTTAAATTTTGCAAAAAAGAAAAAAATTGCTAGTAAGTGGATAAGTAGGTAGTTTTCATAAACTAATTTTAAAATTAAAATTTTCAATTTATATTTCATCAGACAGGATGATAAGAGAGAGAGAGTGATGATCGAAGTTCAATACCAATAAAATACACAAAAACAAATATTCATTATTATTATAATAATTATAATCTAATAATTACAAAACAGAATCATGCAAATCTGTCTATAAAATCTGTCAATAATATAATTGCATTGTTATTGGAGGTTTTTGTCAATTCAGTTTTAGAATAATTCAAATTTGTACTCGTAGTACGTTCGAAAATTAAATGGGAAATTACTCGCTGTAATAAAGTGCGAAAATTTATTTTGTAATAAAGAAAAGTCAGAAATATGTTAATTCAAATTTTTCTGCCGCATATTGATTTTTTTTTTAATTTAAAAATTTTAAAATTTTAATTTTTATAACACTGTCATTTATGTCATTTTCGAACGACTGATTCTGAATTCATAGACTGAGTAAACATAAAAAACTTGGTTAAAGTTTTTGCAATACTGTTTTAGACTGCGGCTTAGAAATGTAAGCTATATTTCAGAATTTTCATTTCAGCGTACATAAACGAAAATCCCCATTCTTATAATTTAGCTATACTTAATTTTTTTGTCCTACACACTCTTATGTTAATACATTTACAGTTATGTTCTTAAATACAATTTTATCTAATATAAAGTAAGTGTCTTTAATATATATAAACATATACCGCAACAAATTCAACTTTAACTTGAGATATTTTACATGTGGGGCACAATAATCGGTCGTGTTCCCGATGAATAATTAGATGAATAATAATTTTTGAATAATTAGATATTTAGCAATAATATTTTTTTATAAAATTATTTAATCAAAATACATTTTAATTCATGATTTTTCGATTAAAGATAAAATGTAAAAATGTACCCTAATTCTATTCGCAAATGTTTGTGTTTTTACTTACATAATAATATATAATATGTAAATATTTTAAGTATACTTAGCATAAACATTCTGTACGTCCTTTAATTTTAGAATCTAAATTCCAAAATATTTTAGTGCGCGTGATAGGGTTTAAAGACCATATTTCATTATTTTTTAATTTTTTTGCAAGTTCATGTGAAGATAAAAGCTTTCGTTTAAAAAAAAATGAAGCAGTTCAAGGTAGATACATAAAATTTATTTAATAAAGGTCCTAATTATCAATATTGTTGCTTTCAATTCAAAATGTACATATTAGTAATGTTCATTAATTAAAGGAAAATAAAGTTTTTTGGTTATTTTTGCGGAAGCTTAACATGCTCGTTGCCACAGTAAATAAAGTTTTGTGAAGGAAATGAAAAACAAAAATTATTTTGTGGTTAATTAGTAACGTTACTTTACTGTACTCCTGTCTGAAATTACGATTTATTTGCTAGGCTTTAAGTAATAATTTTCTATTTATTAGTTTTGGTGCTAGTATGAGTATAATAATAAGGAACGAGAATTTTTCTTACATCAGAAGAACATCTGATTGCTTCTTTATTTTGGAAGAATTTCATTTGATGATTTTATTTTTTTAATATATGAAAACAAAGAAAAATTTTAAATGTATAAAACAATACTAGTAATATACAGTCGAACCCGTATATAAGCAACATTCGTATAAGCAAAACTTCTTTAGTAGCATAAAAGAACAGGCTCTTTTTAAAGCTATTTAGCCATTTTTTTTTGAGATCATAATGTAAATTATGGCAAGCAAAGTAATTTTCTATGGTTTTATAAATGAATTTTTACTGTATTTTAGTACAAGAATTTTGATACAAGTTATTATTATTCTAGTTTTTATTTTTTTTTAAGATTTCGGTTTTTTTATTATTTGAAGAGTCTTTAATATTTTGGGTTTTTCTATAAGTAGAAAATATCTTGTGATATTAAATGCACAATATGAATGATAAATAATGAACGCACATTTATATACATATGTATGCATATGTATGTATATAACATTTATAAAACTTGGTATTTTTAAGTTTCTTTTGCCGGTTTTTTTATTTCTTTTAAAAATTTCGAGGACATTATTAAATTTAAATACGCAAAAAATACTTACATAAATAAAATATAAATATTATTGTGTGTTTTCCCTTTAAAAAAAAACAAGAACTAATAAATATATAAGTAGTTGTCACAATTCAGAAAATATGAAAAATTTTAAGATTTCGATAACACGTAATAAAATTTTAGAGTAGATTTTATTTTATAGCTAGGTACTATTTCCACTAACCGTTTCGAATTTATACTAAGAATAATAAATTGCTGATCAAGTTTTTATTAAATGGTATTTTGAAAAATATATAGAAAAGCAAACACATTGTTCTTGATTATAGCTATAGGCTGGCCAGCTGTCTTAGATCGTAGTTCTGAGTCATGTATTTTTATATGTTTCGGGAAATGCCACAAGAATTTATATAATGTGCTCTCTCAAATTTAATTAATGTAAAAATTAATGTACACTCTTTTTCTTCACCCTTTGAATTTATACGGGGAAAATCTTGCAAAATGATATAAGGTTTCAATACGATAAGTTTAGTAAATTCTTGGGTTGGGTTCATTTAGCATAAATATTTTTTTGAACTTAATTAATCAAATCAACTTGGTTGGATGTCTGAAGTGAATATATAAATAATTTGAACGAAAGATGCGATTTTATTTTCAAGATTAATGTTGGAGTTAGAAGCTTATAAATAGAATATATAAGGTGTTCCATTTATTTCGATGCTTATATACTTGGTTTCTTCTATTGTGATATTCCATTTCGCGCTTATAACGAAAGTATTATTAGAATAAAGAAATATAATTGAATACTTTAGTAAATGAGTATAGTACGCTTGCCATAGTGTCACACTCCTTTGGACCTTGGGCGCCCATAATGTAACGAAAAATCAACGGATGGATGAGTTGACTGGTTGTGGCTCAGTAATGGATATTTTTGTGACGGAACGGGTTTTTGTTCCCATCAACAAAGTGAAAATAAATATATACAGATATTATTTATCGTGAGCTGAGTTTAAGATGTGGGCAAAATACGATCTTAGGAAATCGGATGGGTTTCTGGCGATGTTCGTTAGGGTAAGATGCGGATAGATTGGGATTGCCTTCCAACACAAAGTGTAGCAGATGCCGAGAAATGGATAAGAAGGAGACTATTTTCCACTATCTCTGCGAATATCCAGGTTTGGGTGAGGCCAGAATGGTTACGTAGGGCATGTGTGATGGTGTTGGACGAGATATCGAATATTATCGAGCATAGGGGATTTATAAAGATTTCTCAAGAGAATCGAGTGACTTAGATATACCGCCTGTAATCTAGTGATCACAAAACAGCACATTTGCAAAAATTGTGTTGCGATGAACCTGCTACGTTGACCACCTAAACCAACCAACTAATCTTAACAAATCATACTTTTAAAACGATGTTCTGAAGATTTTTTTCAAGATAAATTTACAACAGCATTTTACGTCCTCTTTTACGTTATGTTGATGGTATACGTTCCGGATTTAATTACAATTAATATGGTCAGTTTAAATACTGACTCAAATAAATGTAGGTAAATCCTGTATACTTTCAGAGAATAACTTAAATTTTAATTGATAATAATGAACTTACATTTTATATGCAAAGTATCAAGATAATAATACGAAAAATTTACAAGAATCGAGATGATGATCAAGATTTTAAACTTTTAATTAAAAATATAGGTGAGAAAGAAGAAAAAATTTAGTTTACTTTAAACATATATGCATGCATACATACATATACATAGTTTTATTTTTGTGATTTTGAACGCAATTAGAGAAAACCAGTTTTGATTAGGTGCTTCCATTAAATATTAAGCTAAATTTCTAGTATTTTAAAGAAAATTCGAGTAAATGAAATATTTCAAAGTAAATGAAGATGATTCAATGGGTAAATATTAAACTAATAATGTGTAAATACTAAAAAATATGTTTACTTAAATAAAATCCACAAAATGTATTTATGTAAGTATTACATGTTATGTAAATAATAATTGAGAAACAAGAAAACTTTTTATTCATATGCACGTATGTATGCAAATATGTATAAGTACTCATATATAAATAAGAATAAAGAATTACTTATTGATAATCGGTTCGCAAAATGTACTTGCTTATATAATTTGTGTAATTAGCACGATCTTTAAGTGGAGGTAGTAAATATCAGAGTTTTTATGGTTCAAACTGTTCTGAATTTTGAATTGTATTAAGTATTGCTCACAATTGAGTCTAAGATTGTATATGCCATATTGTTTGTAAGCTTTACGTGATATGCAGACGCGGCCTTCTCAGAAACGTACAACTAAATTTCAATAGACTGAATTTAATTTGATCATTTGAAAAATTCATCAGAAAATAAAAATATCTCAGCTATAACTGAATATAACGTATCAGCTAAAGTACTTTTCCAAACCTGCAGTATAGACAACAATTGTATTCATATATTGTTGAATACCAAGTACACCCAATCACACTACATATCCATATAAACAACTAATATATACCCACATATACATATCTCAGGAAAATAAGCCTAATCGTCCAATATAAGTAGAGTCAAATAGGATTCCATTGGAATTATGACCAAAATATAATGGGGGCCATTATGATCAAAAATTTTATTCAAAAATCCAGAAACTTTATTAAACAATTAATGAGAAAATGTAGAATTATGTAATAAGCCATAAAAAATTAAAATGCGGGAAAAAAGTTTAAAATAACCTCGGGTAAGTCTAGTATTTCTTTTAGTCAAAAATGTAGGAGAACTTAAGAAAATCATCAGGGAAATAAAGCGTTTGTTTGTGTAAAGAAGTTTAAAAGAGAGAAGTCGGGATAAATTTAAAAGAAAAATATTCGTTGAACTGAATTTGATAGATCGAATTTCAAGGTATGAATTTCGAATACATACTATGTATTATCATATGTATTTTTAAGAATGTATTGTATGTACAAAGGTACATACATACATAAATATTGAGTTACCTGAAATGCTAATAATTTCCTTTGTTTGCATAATTATTATGCTATAAAGGTTATTCCTTGGAAAAAATAAGGATTATTAAAGATACCATTGCTAATTCAAGTGTATTCAAGTTTTTGAAGAATTGTAAATATGTATCTACATATGTATACACACTTCTGTATAATATACAAACTCATATTTTATTTATAGGCTTATTATTTCCGTGAAATTTACGTATGTATGTGCATATACATACTTAGCTACTTATATTTTCCCATTACACATTTACAAAATCATATCTAACTCATACAATATGTATATATGTATGTATGTATATACAATTATAATCTTATATAAACCACAAAAGTATACGGGCCTTTATAAGCATGCATTCCATATTTTCATTTTATTTCTTTTCAAACAAAGATAATTACGTCGCCATCTATTATTCATACAGTAAAATATTCAAACAGTTAGTTATTTCATACATTCATACATACATACATACATTAAATTTTTATTTATTTATTTTTTTTTCTTTTAATTAAGTTTAATTTTTTCTTTTTATTATTTTATTCTTTCTTTGTGTCCATTATTATAATTTAAAAATAGATAACAGATGGACATGTCTCACGGAAAAAATAATTTTTTCTTATTATTATTTTTTATTTTTACAAATTTTTTCTACTAGATATGTAAGTAATTTTAAAATACAAGGAATATTTGAAAAGTAAATTTGGAAATATTTCCAAACAAAAAAGTATATTGACTTTTATTACACAGGTATAAATAGAAGGAAATCGAAAGAAAAAATGTGGAATAACAATAAAAAAAAAATGAAAAAGCTTTCAATTTCTTTTCAACTGTCAACAAGTTCCCGCCATTTCTAAGTAAAAAATAAACACAACAAAAAAAAACACAGAGAAAAAATTCATAACAAAACAGAAAGCGACTAAAAACAAACCAAAAACAACAATGATATGAAAAATTCCTTATCTCATGTTATCTCACAAAAAAAAAAAATTAAGAGAAGCAAAAATAAAAGTAAAGATCAAAACAAAACAGAAAAAAAAAAATTTACTCTTGTAATTTAAAACGTAAAATAAAAAATATAGAAAAAGTAAAAGACCAAAACAAAAGACAAAAAAATAAAAAAAAAGTGTTGTTGACTCATGTACAAAACATACACACGTACCGTTCAAAATAAAAAAAATATCACATACATACATACATACATATGTATGTATGAATATACACGTCCGCATTTTTCCATATGAATTCACTTATACTTGTGCATTAGTAATTTATATGTATGAGCATATATTTATAAATACATACGTATATATACATATATATATGAATAAAGAACATATATTGCATATGCGTGTGTGTATTCATTCATAAACATAAAACTTTAAGTTTTTTTTTTATATGGAACAAAAAATTTCAGCAAAAAATTGTATACAAACAATGTATATACATTTGTGAATATGGACATGTGGGTAACGTATATAATATACACATCTTGTATATGAAACAATAATAGAGAACGTATATTGTGCTCATGTGAGTTACCTGCGTACATACATATATGTACGTACATATTTATATGTATAAATATAATATTGAAAATTTTAATAAAATTTTGAGTATTCCCTTAGAATAGATGAAGAGAAATGAAAGGGAAACTTTACTTCAAGGTCAAAATAAAAAAGTCTAAACTTAAAAACAACTGGAACTATGAAAAACATATGTATGTAATAATTTGTTTTTACACTTAAAATTTTTAAAGTATTTAATCTAGTAGATTTACTCCTCAAATTGAGCATTTAACGCCTAACTAAAAGCAACATGTTGAACGAAAACAAACCTGTGGAAGCAATAAAATATTGACCCTTTATTGTAATATAAAAAATAAGAGTGTAATGTAAATACATATGTATGTATATCTTCATAAGGTATGGTCAGTCACATTTTTTTAAGCTTTAGCAAATCTAAAATTATACTTAAATGAGTTCATGCCTACCGGTGAATAAATACAACTTACTTTGAGTTTCGTTATATTTTTTTTTTCTTTAAAACTTCATAACTATAAGTAACCAAGTAAAATAAATCTTAGCTCTGCTAAAGAAGAAAAAGTCTAAAATATATATATGTATATATAGTTTCTTTAAATGTAGGGACTGCGTTTGTGATGTACCTAGGACTCAATGTGTTGATGTTCACTGATAAGTATGTTGTAAACTTAAAAAGTTTCAAACATGATTTTAAATTTTCGGCCTCTTTTTGTAATCTCACAACTCAGTTTTAAATGGTTTTTAAGGGCTTAATTTGTAAAGCATTAAAAAAAAATGATATAAAAAATAAATTTGCTAAAAATTATTCACTTATGTAGCAGCGTAGCAGTGATTAACTTAAAATTATTTTGTAGCTTTCAACACATGAAGATCTGATAAGTAAACATAAAATTGCAAGCAAGCATTTCACTTTTCAATCCAATTGAGACCGAAAACTAAATACTTAAATATCATTATAAATAATGTAATTTTCAAATATGATAATTGTAAAACACCTCCCTCTTTAGCAGTTGCTTCAATTCCAAATAAAATTAATTGTAAAAGCGAAAATTAAGAGCAATCAATCACTCAGCAAAATCGGCCCCTGATGGTTACTCTATGTCGCATGGTTTCAAAGTTATAAGTATTTATTTATATACAGAAAAAATGTGGTACCTTTTTTCCAACAGGCTGTAGCTCGAGTATATATATCTATATCACCCCTCCCATCATACAATTTTTTTTTTTGAAAATTGATCACAGAAGCATCCCGGCAGCGAAACGTCCTGTATACATATACATACATTTCTCTACTTGTACTAAGTACATTTTATTATTTTATAATTTTGATATAGTATGTACTTATGTAATTTGTTTTGTAAAAGAAACTAAACACATTTCTAAAGTACTACTTATTGTAGTCACTTATAAAAAAATTAATTTTGCTAAATATTCAATAACAATGCATAAATCGCAATAATAATAAATACTCGTATATCTAGATAAGTATGTGTCAGTATAAATACATACATAGTTCCAATAATTTACAAAAGAAATACAAAAAGAGCAAATGCGATCAGAATAATATTTATATTAAGTAAGTACTTAAGTAGATTTTAAATAAAAAACTTACCGCATTTAATAATTGTAAAGCACGTTGTTGTTTCTTTGGTCTTAAACCATTTTCCATAAATGAAAATTTTTTAAATGCATACCATCTTGAACATTTTAATTCACCTTTATATACTTGCATTAACATTTTATGTTTTTCACGACGATATTGTGTTAATAAAACATTCATTTTACGTTCAACTTCTGCTTTTGAACAACCAAAACGTTCAGCTAATCTACACCATGATTCTTTTCTTTTTAATTTATTTTTATAAAATGGACTTGTTTGATCCCATAATGCTGGAAAATTTTTATATTCATCAATTAATCTTAAACATATTTCATTACTCCATTCCATATTACAATGATTATTTGATTTTATTTGAAAAAAATTATTATTATTTGTTGCTGATTTATTATTATTGTTATTATTATTATTATTACTGTTATTATTACTATTATTATTACTATTATTAATACTATTATTTGTATTATTTTCCATATTAGATATTAAATTAAAGTTATACATTAGTAATTTTAATAAATTCAATTTTGAATCCAGTATGATGTATAAAAAAATTTATTAATTGGAGAGATTGGAAATTCAATTTTCAATATTGCTGGTATTTAAACGATATTGTATTCCAGATGTCTATATACATATATTACATGTAAATGCTTATGGTACATTAAAATATGTATGCATATGATATTTATTATATTGTTGATTTTGTTTGTTAGAATTTATTGATTTGCAAATGAATACTAGATATACTTATTTATTGTTGAAGTATGTACAAATAAGTATATGGTGATTGAAATTATAATGATTGGCAATACTTTTTTTTTTTTTTACTTTCTTCAATACTTGAGTAATAATTGATTTAAATTAAAAATATTGTCACTTACTCATAAATGAGCATGTAAGTATGTATATATTTCACAATTCATATATAATACGAATAATTATCGCAAGTTTATAATGTTTATAAATTTATAATGTACACGTAAGTATGTTTTGTAATTTATTATCTTGTTTAAAAAAAAATTACATACATATATGCATGTATTAATTAGATATATGTAGGAGCTTCAAACTTTTGATGACGAATTTCATTTGTGATAGTTACTAGAAATTATTATAAGTAATTAATTATTAAAGTTACGTAATAATCTTTTTATTTTTATTAAAATTTTGAAAATAAATTTAATTAAATTAAAATTTAATTATTATTTTTTGAAAATTTTCAATTTTAAATTCCAGTAGGATCTACTCAAATTAATTGTATTTCTTTTTATTATCAATATTTTTAATAATTTTTTTTTATTAGTTCACTTAAATAAATCTCAGTTCCCACTCTAATTGAATTTTTTTTTTTAATATAATAAGAAAATTTATAACAAAATTAAAGTTTTCCAAATAAAAAACAATAAAAACAAATTTGTTTCTTATATACTTATATATAACTACAAAAGTAAATAACAATAAAATACGAAGTGAGTGTTTAAAAAATTTTATATATGTACTTATAAGAATGTATACATACATACAAATAAATAATAAATGCATGTGTTCACACTTCTGTGTATCAATAATGTTTCCCTTGATGTAAAAATTGGTAGCAACAGGATACAGGATAATTAAATATAATTAAGCAATCTGAATCACTTTATTATCGGAATCTGTGATTAATTTAATGATCAAGTTAATTAAATTTGTTATAAGTACACAAAAATAATTATTTTCAGAAAAAAATCACTTTTAATTTTTAATATCAACTTAATTTTTTCTTGTATGTAATGCAATTAAATCAGGAACGTTTTGATAATTTCATCGTTTTATTTTAATTATTAATTACAGAAAAAGAAATACTTAGGTAACACATTTATGTAAATACAAAAATTTTAATATAAAATTTTATAATATTTTATTTTAGGCAGGATGCACTTATTATATTATAAAAGAATATTAAATATAATTAAATTTCTGCAATTATTAAAGTAATATGAAACCATTGAATTTAAAATTTTCTTTTATAATTTTATTAAAATTTCGATATTTAACATAAATTTTATTTTTATATTAAATAAATGCCATTAAAATTTAATTAATTCGTAAAAATTTTTCACATGTTTTTCTTTCACATTTCTTCTTGCTTATGTTTTTTTATTATTGCACCAATAAAATTAAAATTATTATAAAAAATTTAATATTATTACATATTTCCCTTTTTTAAATTAAAGAAATTTTCTTTTAATATTTTAGTATTTTGTTGAAATTATTTGACTGCAAATATAATAGTTATGTAAAACTCACTTTTAATATTGTTTTTTTTTTTTTTTAAATAAATTATAATAATTTTTGAAATACATAAAATATTTTTACCACTTTACAACAAATTGAATAATTACATTAAACTGTAATTTTTCTTCAAAAAAATTTTTTTAAATAAAATTAAATTATAATTTTAAATGTTATTGCAATATTTTTCAGCTTTAAAATATCCACGTGTAGTTATAATTGAATCTGTATGAAAATCTGAAAATTTTAATTGTAATTAAAAATACTTATATATACATATAACATGTACATTATAAATACACACTGTTCGAGATACGACATCTTTTAATGCGACATTTCGAGTTACGACATGATATAAATTTGGACCATTTTTATTTGGCTTGTGACATTATTCCTGATACGACATTAAAAATTAAAAAAAAAATTTTCTGTTTTTTGAATAAAACTCTATACCGAATTTAGTTGTAAGACAAGACTAAAAGCACATTATTTCAATAATGAACTTTTTCTAGTTAAAAAAAGCTAGTCAGTAATTAAAAAATACGAATTGTTGTGTTATATACTTATATCAACTTCAATCAGATTTTATTTTATTTATTTTTGTCACAAAGTTGAGCTCAACATTGAGTTTTTTTGGTTTCTTTAAACTTTGTTACTGTTTTTTTAAAAAATAAATCAATTATATTATAAAATAGTTTGTCTAATTCTGTTTTTGTTGTAATACGTTTTTTTCCTCCTCAAATTACAATTTGAATTACGACATAAATGTCTGGAATCAAAAATGTCGTATCTCGAGGATTTAGTGTACATACATACATTTTATATATATATATAATTTTTAACAAGTAAATTTTGATGTTTTATTTTTTAACTATAATATTAATTTATTTGTAAAAGAAGCTAAACACATATTATGTACTAATTAGGGTTGCCATTTACGAAAAAATTAATTTGCCAAATATTTAACAAAGAAGCGTCAAATTTAAGCAAAAATGGCGCCAAATAGATAATCTTTATTTCAAATATATTAGATTTTGCAAATGTTGTGCCTTGTTAATTGTAAAATTCCGAAACTTTTTCATTCTATTTTCAATGCTTTGTTCAAAAACATTCTTACAATACGAATTCAACAAAAAGCATTTGTTTAAGCATTTTAAACAAAAATTTAGCTGCATAAGTCTGGAAAATTTTAAGGGGTAAGTATACACAAAATTTAAAATAAATTCTCTACCAATATACATGTATACATATAAGTACAAGTTACAACTTAAATAGCAATATAGTATGGAAGTGGAAACTTCAGGAACTAATTTTACCGGTGTTTTATGAGTAACAACACAATCAAATTTGGAAATAGGTATATTTAATATTAAATTCCCAAATTTAAAAGGTCTAATAAATAATCTTATAAATTAAATTTAACATTATGTTACATTTTTATAATCCAATTTTATATACGAAAATAAAAAAATTTTTGAAAAAAAGAAAAGAAAACTTACAATTTATTTCAATATTTAAAAAATTGGCCAGATACGACTGACTAATACGGGATATGCAGCCAAAAACAAAAATTCAAAAAAAATGGGGTCATTTTTAGCCTATTTAGATCAAAAAGGTAACACTGATATATGTACTAAGTTCATAATTATGTACATTCGTTATACCTACATAAGTTAAATATTTATATATGTAATTCACAGGTTTAATGATATTATATAATAAGATATATGTGTATATGTGTTTGTTTATATTTTATAAATCTTAATGCTAAAAATTACTTTAAAACAAAAACAAATTTATTTATAATCTTCAAATTAACACTGCTGTTTTTAATTAAGTGTTTATGTACATATATACTTATAAGTATAACAATTCACAAATTATTCAATTATACGTAAGTATATCTAAAATGTAAATTTTGCATACACACTCATACATACATAGATATGCATATCGATGTAACTAAGTTATTTTGTTAAAAATCACAAAAAAATATTTTAATAATTTATTTTAAGTGAAAAATTGAAGAAAAGTAAAAAACACACTTTTAAAATATGCAAAAATAAAAAATTTTTTTGTTTTTATTATAATAGAAAATAATTAAGAATAAAAGAATGAAACACCAAAATTACTTAATATAAAAAATGCACTTTATTTTATAATTTTTTCAATTCCCTTTTTTTTATTTTATTTTAGAATTAAATTTTTAATTTTCATTATTAACACTATGTTTATTATTCATGTATATAACAATTATTATTACTATTATTCTTTTATATATACCAGTTACAATTGTTATTACAATAATTATTTCACTATTGTTAATGTTATACTTATTTTATTTTCATTTTCATTTTAGTTTTTCTTTTTATTGTTTTATTATATTTACCTCATGTTCACACACTAATATAATTTAATAGGTATATATATATATATATAAGTATAAATTTTTTGTTTTGTTAAATTATACATTTTTGAACAAAACAAAAAAAAAATGAAATAAAATCGCAGTTAAATGACTTCTTTATAAAAACAAAAAAAAAAAAAAACGAAAAAAAAAATAAGTAAACAAGATTATGTTGTTATTTTTTTAAGTGTACTCAAATATATGTGCATATATACTATTGTTTGGACATATATATATTTACAAATTCACATACATATATATTTTTATTATTATTTTTATTATACTTAGTTGTTGATTTCTTATTTCATTATTATTGTGTTGTTGTGTTGTTGTCATTTTTGTTGATTTCTTTACTGATTTTTTTTATTTTTTCTCTTTTTCATTTCTTTATTTTATTTATTCTTATTTATTATTGCTATTTTTCTTATTAAATTTCTTATTTTTTTTTTTTCCTTTTATCATTCGCGTTATTTTTCATACATACATATTTACATTTGTATTTTTATTAATTTGTACATTTCTATGTATGTATGTATGTACTACAAATTATTTTTTTTTAATATAGTATAAAATATTTAAATAAATATATGTATATACTAATATATCAATTTAAAGATAATATATGTACATATAAATAATATTTCATTAATATTAATAAAGAAAAAATTAAGTAAACAAATAATAAAATATAAAAGTATGTAATAATAAATGTGTAAAAGAATTTAAAATTAAATTTTTTATTTTGTGATATACCTACGATTTACACACTATCCGGTATACTAACATAATAATAGTAATATTGTATT